GGATGTGGGTGTGGGTGTGGGTGTGGGTGTGGGTGTGGGTGTGGGTGTGGGTGCGGGTGCGGGTGTGGATCGAAAAGCCCCCCTCACATCCACACCCTCAAGATGAAAATATTATTGAAGGAGATCTGAACTGATACTGTTGTTCAAAAACAAAGCTCTGAAGTTTTTAGCACACTTCAACAATATACAATCAACCATCTTGAATATAATACATTGTTGTGAAAAAAACTGTAAAATGTTTCACATGCATCGACAATCAGCAGTGGTCCACATGCATCGAAGATGAACAGTGACCCATGTTGCACATTGAACAATGATTAAACGTCGGTGAACAGTGACTTATGTCTCCTATCGGACAATGAATAAACGTCGACGATAATCCATGATTGTGCTAAAGATCAGTTGAAAAAGAAGACCATGCTGGAAAATGTGTAGTGCTACTCTGTTGAAATAGATCTGAATTCGACTGATATGAAATGATCGAAACAGAATAATCACCAGACTGGCAACAAGCTTGACCCATCTTTATTCTCTTGATAGATTCTGACGAATAATACATGCATTTTATAGTCAGTTACTACGTAGTATTGTTTTATTAATGGTCGCGACTCATTTTTATTTCTACGATTACTCTTATCATAATTTAGTCGAAAAACATTATGCAATAGATTATATTTATGAATAGTACTGCAGCATAATATCAGTTATTAAGTAACAATGAAAAAACGATACAAGTAATTATTTGTCTTGCATGTGACGCCACAATCAGGAAGCGACAATAGTTGAATCCGAAAGAAAACTCAAAACTATTTACTTAACAGCTACGAAATGATGATTCAATATCGATAGATGCTGTTATCCATAAAGGACAAACAGATGAAACACGAAATAAAATCATTTTCTGCTTTTCGTTGTTTTTTTTCTTCTAGCTTTTACTTTTCAATCAGAGAATTCGGGAGCCCTCAATGAGATTCCTACCAACATCGCAGCTATAATCACAATAGCTATATCGCACTCTTACTCTCACTTCGAATTTATATCCATTCGCTGTTTATCAGGCTATGTTAACGCTGAGTAAACTGATTTTATCAAACATACATATGTGACAATATTACTAGACGCAAATAATCCTTATCTTGTCACATCTCATTGATAAGAAATGAGCAAATACAGTGGATGAATGAAATAGTGTGAAAACATGTTTTATGAAAGTTAAATTGACTTGTGGCATCTGTCATAATGTCTAAAATACACGCTACTATATCACGCTTCATAATGCAGTAGCACAACTTTAAATACTGTCTCTCATTGAATAGTTGATACACTTTTGCACAGGAAGTAACAAAGAGCGTATGAGTATGCAAGAAAATTTTACCCAAACGGACCGATCTCTACGTATATTTCGTCAATGCCATCGCTTGAAACCCAAGCATTTCTTCAAGTTTATCTCCGCTCTATTAGTACCGCTTATGTTAGGTATCTCTACCGTTATCATCACTTTTCAGCAACAGGATGAAGCAAAAATACAGCGTGTTGAAGATCGAAAAGCAGCGCAACTACAAGAAGACCTAGAAAAAAACCTGGCTGAAAAGCGATTGCAAGACGATATTTTCGATACCTATATTAGGGAAATCGGTGCACTAATGAAACAAAGCAATGGATCACTCAGCTGTAATCCAGTTACAGCTACACTTGCTCGTGCGACAACCCTCAACACCTTTCGTCTACTGGAGCCAAAGCGCAACATGCATATTATTCGGTTTCTTCATGAAGCTGGGCAGCTAACTAAAACACATGATCAACCATCACTAGATCTTTCAACAGCGGAACTTCATGATCTCGATTTTACGTATTCAGCAATAAATCAAGAACAAATATACAAACTATCATTGGCCGGAGCTATTTTATCTCGTGCCATCTTTGCAAGAGTTGAGATGAAGGGCGTCAACTTCTCAGCAACCTATCTCGATAACGCTAACTTTTCAGCAGCTAGGATAGACTATGCCGATTTTTCATCATCTCGAGTCGATAACGTCAACTTTTTAGCGGCCAACCTTGACCATGTCGATTTTACATCTGCCCGATTCAGAAATGTCAAGTTTCCATTCACCGTTCTCCATGAGATTAACTTTTCATTCTCTCAACTTTCTGATGTCGTTTGTTCATCTGTCTTGCTTATACGTGCTAATTTTTCATGGGCTCAACTCAACAATGTCGACTTTTTATTTACTTTTCTCTTCAATCTAAATCTTAAGGAGGCTTCGCTCCACCACATAAAATTTTCATTCGCTCTACTCGATGATATCAAACTTTCTAACGC